AAAAAAAAAAAAGCTGCGTAGTTGTGACACAGACCGTATAGCCCACAAAGCCTGAAGTATTTCTTAACCCCTTACAAGAAATGCTTGCCTGGAGTTACTCAGTTTTCCTGGGTCTCGCCCATGTATACAGGAGGTATACATATTACTAAACTTGAATTCATTTTTCCCCTGCTTAAAAAAAAAGTTTGCTTTATGCCATCTACCTAGGTTCCATTCATTCTGGTGGCTTTAATGACCATTTATATACCAAAGATTCCCAAAGTAACACCTTCTCTCTGGATTTCTTCTATAAGGATGACCTGACATGAACATTCAGCCGGCTGTTGTCAGGGAGAGGGAGAATCCCCTTCTTTTACTCTTTACTCCTTACAGCTGGACTAGTAATAAAATAATAAAATTGACAGAAGACTAGATTAACAGAAGAAAAAGCGATTTAATACGTGCACATGGGAGAATCACAATATGATGTTCAGATAATAAAATGAGGCTCCAAGAAATGATCAAACCAGGCAACTTTTTATATTTTTTAGACAAACAATAAACTTGTGAGAAACTGACAGGACAAAGAAAGTGAGTGCTCTAAGCAAGGTTTGGGCTTGGGCAGTTACAATAAGTTAGTAAAGGCCAAGGTTTGTTAATACAGATGGTTCGGCTCTGAGCTGTGTAACTCTAGCGATAGGGGTGTCTTCCAGGTACAGGGAAGACACCGTTCATACGGGAGATTTATTTTTTTCCTTCAAGGAGACAAGTGACCTTTCCGCATCAGCTGCTTGTCAAGTAACTTTAATTCAAAGTAATCAATATGCCACTGTGGGATACTTTGGGGCGGCCTGTCATGGACACGTACACGTCATTCCCACTTACATGATTCACCAACGTCTCAAAATGAGTATGTCCAGAACAGCTCCTACCTTGGCCTACCCTACCTCAGTAAATGGCACCAATATTCATCCAATTGATCAAATGAGTTATTGGGAGTCCTTGACACACATCCCTCTCCCTAAACCCCCACGTCCAATCTATCACCAAACCCTTCAAAAAAACCCCCAAGTCCACCACTCTTCCATTTCTACTGACTTCCACCCTTTTCCAACGCACCCACACCCATCTCTCTCATCCTGGGCCACTGCAAAAGTTCCTAAAAATGAGTCTTTTTTAAAAAGGTAAACAAAGCCTAGCTACTCTCCTGCGGTTGTGCCCTAGAGCCCTCAACCTCCACCGAAGCTTGCACAGCTGTTGACGCCCCAAGACGACCCCTCTCAACCTTCCCCCATGGTTTTAGAGCTCAGAATACCCTCCCAAGACCCAGAGGCGCTCCGGGTGGTCGCAGAAACGCAGTTAACTTCCGGCCTCTTTCTACGGCACAGTCGCAAAACAACGCCGTAAGTGCATGCACTTTCTACGTTTTAGGGCGGGACTTCGTTTTACAAACCGGACCGTGAGTCCTTGCGTTCTCTCTTTCCAGTCGGCGCTGAGCCATGGGTGAGTGTCTCTCTGTGTTGGGACCGGGTAAAGGAGCCATCTCAATCCAGCACCATCCTGCCTTGCAGCCAAGTTAGGAGGGTGGGCACCCCGACCCTCGGCAATAAGCAGCCATGAAGGAGGGTGGTGTTCGGGTTTGGGCCACCGAGGTCGGTGCCGGGGTCCCTGCCAGGGCTGCAAGCCGCACCAACATGGCTGCCGCGGGAAAGGGTGCGGGCTGGGCCGCACGTGTATGATGACACCTTAGTACTGCTGTAAACTCCCGAATGCTCAGTGGGGAAACCAACCTTGGAGAACTGAGCGTGCGGCCCGCCCGGTGCGGGGGTTTGGAGCTGGCGAGGGCCGGCCCCGCGCCCCAGTGGCTCAAGCCTCCGTTCCTTGCTTCCACATACAGGCATCTCTCGGGACAACTGGCACAAGCGCCGCAAGACCGGGGGCAAGAGAAAGCCCTACCACAAGAAGCGAAAATATGAGCTGGGACGCCCTGCTGCCAACACTAAG